TATATACAGAGATCAAACTAGTCGTTTTGGAGTAGGAAGAGGATATTTTGTTTTTCAGAAGTGAGGTGGGCGGCATTGAAATGAGAATAAATCAAGGTGAAAATTGCTTTTTAAAAGATGAAAAAAGTTGACAGTGAGAAGTAAATAATAACATGGTTCGTGGTTAATAATGAGTTCTTATAGCCTGAATGGGAAGTAATATTTTTTTAAAGGACCAGAATGGGTAAAAAGTAATGTTTCCTGATGTATGGAAGTTGGGGTATGATTTTAATAAGAAATTTAATAGAAGTTTTAAAACCTTTGCTTGCATTCCTGCATGGCTTGAGGAGATGCTCTAAAGTTCCTCGCTATCTTGTCATTTACTTTCCAGTATGTAAATATTTTCTTTGTATTCCAGAAAATGAAAACCTACTTTCTCTTTGCTTACTCCTAATTGGATTTCCTCTTTAAGAATCCATCTCTTTTTCTGAGCCTTTGGGGACTGCTGAAGAATTCTCAAATTCTTTTTTGCCACTTGGGAGCTGTTCTCGCACCAGTTGGGTCCCCTTTTGCTTAGGGATTATTTTTGCACAAAGATATGCAGTGGCGGCTGAGGGGGCAGAAACCTTCCTGAGGACCCCATTAGGGGAGGTCCATGGCTCCAGTTCGGTCTGCACCAGTCAGGCAGGAAGAGATAAAAGCAACAACAAAGTGACTCCCCTACCAAAGTGTCTCAGTGACAAAGATCCTGCTGGCTATCTTTTCTCCCCCTAAAAAAAATTTTTTTTAGTATCTTTTTAACAAATACATCAAATCCACCTGCCCAATTCCAGCCTCCTTCACTTGTCTAATGACTACACAGGAAAGCATAATGCGTGCTTTGGATAAGGATATTACTTTGTGTTCTTGGCTTTCTGTCCCAGGAAACACAGGGGACACTGGATGACAAATATGCAGGAGCTTTCTCCCAGCTGTCTTGCCTTGTGGACCTCCCTACTTAAGTGTCCTCCTTCACAATGGAGAATAGCATCACTACTGCTTGTGGTCACCCAGCAGCAGAAACTCTTTCCCATTGTCACCTCATAGCACGCAGGTCCTTGCTTTTTGTGACAGTGGCAATTAAAACTAAAATGGCAATATGAATGCACAGGCAAAGCTTTAACTGGAAGTGAGAGAAGACAAAGGAGTCCATCCTAAGCAACTGGAAAGGGGCACCCTCTGATGAAGAGGATCAGATTGGTTCGTGCATAAGAGAAGGGAGTAGTTAATAAGGTGCCAAGATGGGCTAGGATCCCATTGGTTGGTTATTATCTCAGTCCTGGTTTCACAGCTCTGGAGAAATCTGCGTAGCTGACGGGAGGATGGGGTGGGCCCAGCCCCAGGAAATGACTGACTTTGTTGTGGCTTTAGTTATGTGAGGCTATGCTTTTCCTAAGACCCAGGGGACTTTTGGTTCAAGAGAAAGGACACTGTCAAGAATGCTCCAGGGGGTGGACGGGCTGGGGGTGAGAGTCCTGGAACTGAAAGTTGTGAAAGCTGGTAATCACGTTCCTGCAAATCTTGAAAATTACTTTAGTGACCCTTGTCTTACTATCTTTTGTTCTGAAGGGGGATGAGATTAGGCAGGAAAACTTGGGGCTAATAAACATTGTTCTACTGACTTTTTAAAAATGATAAACATACCTATAGCCAAAGTTTTAAGGTAAAGGATATAAAATGAAGGTCAAATTTTGCTCTGCTTTTGGTTCCCTATTGGGCATCTTTAAGCCCAGGGAAAAAGTCAGGGTTTTAGCAAAAACTTCTTTTAGGTCCCTGACTGCCTCAGAAGAAAATACAAATTGTGCTTTTAACAAAGTTAAGGGCCAAAGAGTTTGTCCTTTGTCCCTATCATGTTCTCTGACTAGTCACAATGATGATGGAAGTCCCTATGCTCAGAGACAGAGCCTGAACAAACTACAAGTTTCTTTTTCCCAGTCTCCTTTGCAGCTTGGCTACATCATGTGACAAGATTCCTGCAATCGGACGAACCCTCGGTTAATACTTTACAAAGTTCTTAACAACTTTTCAGCTTCCATTGACTGGACAGTTTGTGTTTTGTGAAATAACACATCTGACTTATATGACAGTTTTATCTATTAAAAAATTCCTTGTAAGACTTAGATTGGAAGATTTCTCTGTTCCCGACAGCCAGAAACCCTGCCCTTCACCCAGTTCACCCTGGCTTTTATTTTATGGCCCTGTCCAAAGTGGAGCAGCGAAAGCACAGTCATAATGGGCTCAGGGACCACTGCCTGGGTTCACACCCCAGCCTTATCACTAACTCTCGGTGTGACCTTGGACAAGTTATCGTGTGTCTCTGCTTGCTTCTCTAAAAAATAGGGGTGATAGAAGTATCCCCTCACAGGGTTGAATTTTACATGTGTCTTCTCGTAGCACTAAGAGCACCTGGCCTGTCTCAATCCCACAGTGTGTGACTCTGAGGCAGTTAGGGTGGAGTTTCATTTTATTGGCTTTGAGATCTGTCCCAGAGATAGGTAGAATGCACTGAGGTGTGTCTGAGTGGGTTGTGGAGGCACGGCCTTGGGGTCTATGTCTGGTCCCTCACCCCTTTTACTCTAGCACTCTTATCCTGCCCTGCTTCCCAGCTGCTTGCAGTGCCTCCTGCTCCCCAAACTCAGCACCTCCTCTGACCCTCCCCCTCAGCCAGCCAGTTACCCAGCCAGGACCTTTCTTCCCACCTCTTCTAGAACATTCTCCTTCCTTTGACCCCTCCTCTCCCCTCTCACCCAGCCTGGCATCCGGTCCTGCCCACAAAGCAATGATGCTCTGTAACTGTCCTCTTCTCTCCACCACTGTCCACCTCTGGCCTGGCCATCACATTCCATGGGATGCCCCGTGGAAATTGGCCCCCACCTTCCTTCCTCGCTCAGCCTGGCCTTTTGCTGCCTACCAAGGTGGGCCCTGTGCGGACTGAGGAGGTGGTAGGGCTCCTCCTCCCCAGGGCTCTGCAGGACTAGCATTGCCTCTCCCTGCCTCCTCCACCTAGTTAAATTTTACTCCTCCTTCAGACCCCAATTTATTTAGCGCTTCCTTCAGGGAGCCAGATCTGCCCGTGTCCTCCGTACCAGTTAGACCAGGGTCCTTTTGTAGAGAAAGAGGGCTGGAAGGCAGAAAAAAAAGACAGGATAAGGCCTCAGGGAGGTTTCTGACAAATCCTGACTAAAAAGTT